CCCAGCAGAGCAAAGAAAGAATGAAGGTAAAGGACACTGGGAATAGGGTAGGGCTGGGGTTGAAACAGCATGAGAATAAGCAACAGGGCCCAAAATAAGACATTTATTTTTTCTTTCTTTCTTTCTTTTTCTTTCTTTCTCTCTCTCTCTTTCTTCTTTCTTTCTTTCCTTTCTTTCTTTCCTTCCTTTCTTCCTTCCTTCCTTCCTCCGTTCCTTTTTCCTTTCCCCTTTCCTTTCCTTTTCTTCTTTTCTTTCTTTTCTTTTTTCTTTCTTTCTTTATTCATTAACTGATCCAGGCACTAATCCAGATTTGCTTGTTTGGGACAAAAGGCAACACAGAATTTAAAGATCTTTAAAATAAATTATAAAGATCCTAGTCTTTGTAATCGCCTTTGGCCCAATGTAACACAGATCATAAGGATCATGACAGAATTAGTGTCTCTGGGACAAGTACAAAATGCCATTTTAGTGTTGATTTTAGAAGAGAAGTCAGACTAATAAATTGCTGTTGTACAAATACTATGGTGAATTAAACAGCTTTAACTTTCTATCAGCCACAGAATACAGAAACTATAGTTACATATACATCCAAAGAAGACAGTAACCTAACATATACAGCAAAACTGTGAGTTATTTGTCTTTGTATACTGTAGTCCCATTCCAAGAAATGTTTTTCTTGGTTCAAAATATATAGGGGAATTTAGAGGGCTACACAGAAAAAAGGTTAAAAATAAAGACAGTAAAATAAGGGACAGGAAAAGTAGAAGTGCAACAACACTACTGATACAGAAAAACTGAAGCATCAGCCACAAAGAATTCAAACAAATCAGTGAGGGGAAAATGGCACAAAAGCCAAACAAAAGGCTTGACACCATATTACCAATCTGAGAGCGTCACTTTGGGTTTTAAGTCAAATACTGAATTAGACTATGCAACTTTTCTATTTTTATTTTTTAATTTTTTTAATTAAAAAATTCACCAAAATTACTTGTTTGATAGAGTCATACAATTTTAAATGGCTACAAAAATGTGCAGATCAGTGCCAAATTTTTTGGCAAAGGCTGAATAGCAGACGGTAATCCAAGACACAGACAACCTTGCTTTGAAGCCATCGTTACTCTTCCTGCTGAGACCAGCAAGCTCCCTTCTACCTGTGAGATCAAATCCCAAAATGTACCCAAATAATCTTAACTCCCCCTTCACCCTAAAACCTACCCTTCACTGTCTACGCCAGCCTCCGGCCAGACCTGATGCCTGGGTTTTGCCCATTTCCGCCTTCCCACCTGATGTTGCTCTCCCTTGTCCCTGCTCAGGTCCCTCAGTTCTCCCAGGCCTAACTTGGCGCACTTTCTTCCTCTGTCACCCCAATCAACCCGGCTCCCCTCCCTTTCTAAGCCTTGCCACCTGCGCAGACTCCAAGTTTTCACCTCACCAGGGCCCCTCTTTGCCCTGGGGTCAGCTCTCAGCCCACCAGGTTCTCTCAGGGGCTCACTCCCCACCTGCCTCCATTCAGTCAGACTGTTCAGTGTCCATTTCGCGCCCGTAGCGACACCAGGACAGAAGCCCACTCAGTGACCCTCTGCTCCCAGAAAGCCTCCTGGCTCCTTAACTGACCCTCCGGGGCGGTGGGGGTCGGTGGTGACTCACCAGAGGGCCTGCGGCCGGCGCGGGGGGAGGGGGGCCGGAATGCGCTCACTTCCTCGCCGCACACCTGCCCCGAGGCTGGAGCGCTGCCCGGCCGGGCCTCCGGCGGATGTTTTCCTTGTCCCTGTGCGTGCAGCACGCGCCAGCCGCCCTCTCCAGGCCCTGCAGGCCAGCCACCGCGCCCCCAGGACCCAGCAGGCCGGGTCCTCACCACTCATCCCTTCTCCAGCAGGCACGCATGCGGGCTCGACCCACACCTCTGCACTGCCCCCCCAACTTCTGGAAGAGGACTGCTGGCTCAGCCCAGCCTTTAGCTTTCCAGAAGCCCCTATATGCCTACCTCATCTTTGCCACAGGCGATGAACCCTCATTTCTGTCCCCGTTACCACACACGCACCAATCCCCACTGGGGCTCTCCTTCCCTTTGGCATCATCCCCCCACCTTCATGCTCTCCAGCTCCCCAGCTCCCTACTCATGTCCGCCCCCTATCGGGCTGGCTCCAGCTTGCAGAAGCAGAAGGTGGTCCAGGGCCCGGCCATCCAGGTTGTCCGCTGGACCCCCTCTGGGAAAGGCGACAGAGCTACTGGCCACTGACAAGACCTTTGGGCCCTCGTGCTAGAAATGTCTTCGAATCCACCTGCTCCAGTCCAGACAGCAGGCCCATGTAGTACCCCCCACGCCACAGCCAACCTCAGAGCACCCTGCTTCAACTGTGAGTTTTTTGTTGGCACTCTTCTGAAATGGAAAGGGTATCAGACCCGACTAGGGTGAACATGAGGTCCATTCTGCATCTCCATCCACCTCAGAGGTCTTCTTGGAAGAGGACAGCAAGGGAGATTGAGGTGCACTGACAGTCATTTCTGAACAGTGAAAAGGTGACAGGCAGGGTGGCCCCCATGAAAAGTCAGCCAGAAGCAGTTGTATCTGATGTACTAGGTGGCAGGAAGTGAGTCTTGGGAGTAAATGGAACTGAAAACTTAGAAAAACAAAATAAATGCCAAAAAGACTGTCCCTGTGGGGAATACCTGGAACATGGGTCTTTGAAGTGTAGAAAAATGAAAGAAATCCAGTTTGACCAGGGCCTTTAGTGCCAACAAGATGGCTAGCAGGAGAGTGGCGAGAAAGAACTGGAGAGGTCCCATGAGCAGAGACGGGAAGAAATGGATCTGAATCCCAATGAGGAAAAACAGGAGACTTAAAGTTAGCTGGCAGGCTGATGAGAAAAGGACAGCTTGTCCCAGCGTAGAGACGAGGGTGCGGATCTGGGGAAAGCAGGCTTATTGGCAACAGTTTCTCAAACCAAACATTCAGAAGTCAGCACAAGGGCCAAAACCAAAATGCCCCTGGAGGTACCTGCTTTTGAAAGAGGTGGGAAAGCTGACATGGAGCAAGGGTCCCCATCCCCCAGGCCACAGGCCAGTACTAGTCCGTGGCCTATTAGGAAATGGGAGCAAAGCAGAAGGTGAGCAGTGGCTGAGTGAGCATTACCGCCTGAGCTCCTCCTCCTGTCAGATCATCAGCAGCACAAGATTCTCACAGGAGTGCAAACCCTACTGTGAACTCCACATCTAAGGGATCTAGGTTGTGTTCTCCATATGAGAATCTAACACCTGATAATCTGAGGTAGAACAGTTTCACCCCAAATTCATCCCCTACCCCTCCCACCCCACGCCTACGCTAATATCCCCTTCCATCTGCTGGTAGAAAACTTGTCTTCCATAAAACCAGTCCCTGGTACCAAAAAGGTTGGGGACTGTTGAGATGGAGCATGACTGTGAAAGGGGCAAAGGCCTATGCCAGGAGGGAGCCATCCCCAACAGAAGCCCTTAGCTACACACAAACTGCTTACTGTCATTCAAAGAAATGAATGTCACCCATTTTGCCTCTGAGCTTTGGTACCAATGACAGCAACTGCTATTTTCTGATGCTTAGGCACCAGAGATGGTGATAAGAGCACTGCACACATCATCTTATTTAATCCTCATAATAGCCCAATGAGTTGGCAATACTACCCACAATTTATAGATGAGCAAACAGTCTCAGCAAGGTGAAGTAATCTGGACAGGTCACACAGCTAAGTAAAGTCAGGTTCTGAATCCAAGGAGACTATCTCTACAGCCTATGCTCTCAATCTTCCATCCTGAGATCCTCCAGAACCTGTGGGAAACTCAAAGGAGGATGCTAAATGACAAATTCCGAAAAACCTCACTTCATTACATATGGAAGGAAAGAGAGGACACCTCTGTGAAACTGGAGTGATTCCTCCCATCAGGGCACTTAGAGATGCTCCTCTTTGAAAGGGAGAAAGAACCATCCCCAGGTGTGGGATGATCCCGAATCTGCTGTATGTTTGAGGGTGATAAGCAATGGACAGTTCACCTCTGGAATGCCTGAGGAAAAGAGACCTCTATCACCTCTGAGGGGCAGCCCTATTTCTTGGATACATTAGGGAAACCCTGCCCTAGGGTCTGAGGGAAACAGTCTCCACTCCAGGTGCCTGCTCGCTCTCCTGGAGCCTCTGGCCGTCGCACCCTATTGCAGCTCCTGGGTTTGGCTGGGGCACAGGATTAACCATCCCCAGGAAATGCCTCCCTCCGGTCCAGGCAGGGATCCCAGCATACACACCCCTGGTGGTGGCAGTGGGGGAGAAAAGGGGAAGGTGGAATGCTTCCTTCTCTCCAGGTCAGGGAAGAGATTTGGAGACCACCTGGGGGCCCTCACCCCCTCCTACCTCCTTGCTGGGGAAGTGCCCAATCCAGTGCCCCCTCCATGGCCACCTCCCTCCCTCTAGCTGTGCCGGGGCATGAATCAGCTCTCACAGCTTGTTAAAGCTAGATCTCTTGTTTTCATGCCCTCACCTCAGGAAACAGAGTTACAGCTTTTCCAGCTCTGCTCAGCAGGGGGCCAGGGTCCTCACTTTATAAACATCCCCAGCCTGTGAGAGCAGAGGGCAGGGAGATAGTGTGAGACAGGAGCCCAGGGAAGAAAGAGAGAAACTAAGACTCAAGGAGCAACACAAAGCAAAGTCAAGGAGTCAAGACTAGAGTAGCTGAGCAGAGGCCGAGGTCCGAGAGGGCTGTGCAGCAGCAATGGCCCTGAGGATGCTCTGGGCTGGACAGGCCAAGGGGATCCTAGGAGGCTGGGGAATCATCTGCTTGGTGATGTCTCTACTCCTCCTGCACCCAGGAGTCTACAGCAAGTGTTACTTCCAAGCTCAAGGTAAAATGGGGTGAGGTGTTAGGAAAGGAGGAGGAGCAGAGAGGGCACTGGGAGGACAGGGCCTTAGAGATGATCCTGTGTCAGAATACCCAGGCTCCCTCCAGCTGTGAAACAGGAAAGAAAAGCTAAATATGGGGATAGTACATAATTATTTTCTCCACCCAAGACCAGAAGAGACTCTGCCTCTCATCAGCACTCCTACACCCACTAACATTTCCCTTTCTTCCCTAGCCCCCTGTCACTATGAGGGGAAATATTTCACCCTGGGTGAGTCTTGGCTCCGCAAGGACTGTTTCCATTGCACCTGTCTGCATCCTGTCGGTGTGGGCTGCTGTGACACGTGAGTGACTAAAGATGACCAGAGAATGACTCTGATTTGAGTGACTAAGGGATGAACAGGGAGTGACTGGATTGCTGTGATGTAAGAATGAACAGAAGAGCAGTACGAGGTGGGCTGACCCTGAAGGGACCAAGACTAGTGTGAAAGATAGGCTTTAGGCTATAAATCGGGGGAGGTTGGGTTGGACCTGGAGAAAAAATACTCCTGTTATATAACAAAAAAGCCTACATATGGTAGGTGAGAGCTTAGTTAGGAGGACCAAGAGGCCACTCAAGGAGACTCTCGGGGGAAAGCTGTGAGAGAGGGAACGTGGGCAGGGATAAAGGCAGCCTTTCACTGTGCTGACTCCTTCCCTCATCCTTGGTTCCTCAGGTCCCAGCATCCCATTGACTTCCCGGCTGGGTGTGAGGTACGTCAGGAGGCAGGAACTTGCCAGTTCTCGTTGGTGCAAAAATCTGACCCTCGGCTACCCTGCAAAGGGGGAGGGCCTGACCCAGAGTGGGGCTCAGCCAACACCCCTGTTCCTGGGGCTCCTGCTCCCCACTCCAGCTAAACTCAACTGATCACCCATCTGCTGACTGCTCACTGCTGCTGCCACTTCCAGGGAAACCACTAGCAGCTGCCAATGTATTCTGAATAAATAAATTAATGCTATGGCTGAAAGGCTGACTCTCATTGTCCGCGCCATTGGACCTCAGGTGGAAAAAGTGGTTCCCACTAGAGTCCAGGTGCTGAGTTCTCAGTATCCGGAAGGAACTAGCACCAGGATGGGCCAGTTTCAGATGGTTATGGTGCTTGTGCTGGGGCCTGGGGCAGCATATGAGGCCAGGGTGGGGCTGGTAGGCAGCACCTTGATGGGGAGGTCCCAGCTGAAGGTGTCTACAGGTACTTGCTCAGGACCTGTCCAGGTGGCAGGTTCAGGCTGTTCCACAGGGGGAAGAAGTACCAATCCTGGTTCTCGGGATGTTACAAATTCAAAATGCAATCTCCACTTCAAGGACACTATGGAAGAAAAAGATTAAGGTAGAAGCATTAGAAGCCAGCAAGAGTAAAAACCAATGACAGGATACAGATACAAATGAGAAAAAAAAAAAAAATCTGTATCCAGGAAGACAGGGAAAAGTCACAGAGCAGGGAGCTGTGATTAAGGGTTTTTTCTGAAGCAATCAGGTATTATTAACCATAGGTGTGAGCTGAAGATAGCAGTATTAAGTACTTAATAACCCCAGAGTGAGGCAGTCAGGTCTAGGTAGCATGAAGTAATCAAAAATCAGTGTATCACAGGGTCCTGGTAGGTAGGCATGGGGAAGGAGTTCTACCAAGTCATTAGGAGTTTAGGGGTCAGTACATCTAAGAAACAGGTAGAGGTTGAAAGTCTGAGAAGGTGTTCAGGGTCAGAGGCTGGACGTAGGTATGTCTGGGAGTGTGTATAAGGAATCAGGATCCATTATACCCTCCCTAAGCACAGCATTTTACTGTCCCCCTCCCTCTTCTTCAGTAGCAGTCAGGGTCTCACCAATGGCCGTGCAGAAGCCTGGGGTGGAGCTGAGAGGGATTGGGAGGGAGAAGCTGGTTCTGGTTGTATGTAGGCAGGATTCCTGGTGCCGGGCGTGAGTCACATGCGACACAGAGGGGACACCCCCTGCCCCACGTCGCCGCTGGTACTCAGGCTGTACACGCTCCTCGGTCTGTAAGCTTACTGAAAACTGGAAGCAAGAGAGAGGTGTGTGCTAACAGGAAGTGCTGAGTGTAGATGAGATGACAGCCCAACCTCAAGCTGTTTTACAAGGGACCCTGGATGACCCCACTATCCCCTTCTACATGCTACCCCTCTTTATACAAGCATTCCATCCTAGCCCTTCAGCCCCAGCACCCCAGAAGCTCTGTTCCCTTCTTACCTGCAAACAAGCTACGGTTCCTTCCCCTAAGTTTAAGGTCCCCACCACATCTTCACCAAGTCTGTACACAGATTTGAAGATGCCAAATGTCCCAACTTTCCCTCGGCCATCACTGATATTGTATAGATCTGGGGAGAATAGGATACTATAAGCCTGGCGACTACACACCGGGAAACGTCCAGAACTGGGCACCAGAGGCCAAAAGGTGAGGTTTTTCTTTATAATTGGAGGTGTGAAGTATCAGTGGATCCACAGAAGTGTGTGGTGGTTAGGAGATCGTCTCGAGATGGGAATACAATGAGGGGACAGATGGGGTGGGACAATTCTGAAAGAATTCTCACGGAGGCTGCGGCAGGATGTGGCAGCCATTAGGCGCTCCCCAGCCAGCTCGGCTAGCCATGAATCCTTCTTCCCACCTTCATCCTCCTCCAAGAATGGACTGGATGGGGCAACAGCCTCATCCTGGGGAAATCGGACATCCTGAAGGCCTAGAGAAAGAATGAGTGGAGAGGTAATGCTGAGAGGGAACAGAAATGAAAGCAGAGGTTAGGGTTTTGGATTCCAACCTGAGACAGCTGAAGGTGAGGGGTGCCAGGGCTGAGGTGTACATCTCTTATCTCCAGAACCCTCCCTCCCTTCCCAACTCCCTAGCACTGTCACTGAGACCAGGAGTTTCCCTGCAGCCCCTCTTGCAAGCCCTCTAAGACAATTTCTGCTTTGGCATGGCCCTTCCCCAGCCCTTCCGTCCAGGAACCCTTGCTTACCAGTCAGCACAAGAACCCTCAGAGGGACTCTGAGTAAAGTGATGGGGGAGTTGACACGCTGGCAGCCAATGGTCAGTTTGTAGACGTACTTGACTGACTGACCCCGAAAGGAGGGTGGTCCCTCTATGGGCAGCACTTCACTGTAGGAGTCTGGTTGGGAAGTAGTTGTCAGGGCAGCCAGAGGAACCAGAGTCCTCCTCCCTCCAGGAGACTTAGAGGGCAAGTCAGGGATGGGGACAATCACTCACATGATTTGGACTCTCCAGGGTCTAGCCTCAGGTCACAGAATAGAATTTTTGGTGGAGTAGAAAGAATACACTGACCCCTCTCACCTGAAAAAGGTAAGAATGACTGTAATTTAATGACCCATTGTCCAATACTGAACAAGATGAGCACGGCAAGCGGAGACAGTGAAAGGCTGCCAGGCCCTCTTTCCCTGCTGTGAAATGGGAATGGTCTTCTACCCACAATGTAATAGTCACGCTCTCCCACATCCCCAGCATGACAAGGACTATAAGAACAACAACAATTGCTGGGCGCAGTGGCTCACACCTGTAATCCCAGCACTTTGTGAGGCTGAAGTGGGTGGATCATGAGGTCGGCAGTTCAAGACCACCCTGGCCAAGATGGTGAAACCCCGTCTCTACTAAAAACTACAAAAATTAGCAGGGCATGGTGGTGTGCGCCTGTAATCCCAGCTACTCGGGAGGCTGAGGCAGGAGAATTGCTTGAACCTGGGTGGCAGAGGTTGCAGTGAGCCAAGATCGTGCCACTGTACTCCTGCCTAGCAACAGAGCAAAACTCCACCTCAAAAAAAAAAAAAGCAACAATTAACAACTTCACCCATGGGTGACAATGCCTCCACACACACCCTGTGCCCCCCTCTCCCAGGCAAATGCCCCTCTCTAACCTCGGTGTGGCAGAAAGACAGTCTGGCTGTCAGGCTGGACATCTGGCTGACTAGAGTCAGGGGGAGGCAGTGCTACTCGACTCTCACTGGCATGGAACTGACAGTGGATTTGGGCACTGGCCCAGGCCAGGGCCTCACTGTGGGAAGAGGAAAAGGAGGCATCAGAGGTAGTTCCTGACCTCACAAATGCTTTCCCAAGCTCCCAATGACACTGTCTTAACCAACAAGTTTAGATGGCTGTCCTAGTGATCAGGAAATCCAGAACCCCAAAGATAAACCATTAACTAAAGAGTAGCAGACTGTGGGTAAAAGGGGGAATGGGGGTGGGGAAGGAAAGCGTACAGCTATGTCATCCACATCTTCTGTTAAAGATCCCTCTCCAACAATGAGAGCACAATAAGCAAGAGGAGGTGATATCACTACAGGACAACCTGAACTCTGCCTAGGCACCAGAGATAATCTGGCGTCTTCCCAAAAGGGCCAACCTTCAGGGTCAGCATCCCCACCTGGATGCAGAAGTGGCCGTGGGGGGAAGGGGGTTGGTGACGGTCACCACACATTCCAGCGCCTCCCCAGCCAAAAATACAGGACCCCGGCTTAGCTCTGCTACCACTTCAATCATGGCAGCTCCGGAATCAGATCTAGAAGGAAACAAGGCAGGGCGGAGGTCAGCACCGTGACCGAGATGGGCGTATCGGCGAGCACCTAGGGCTGAGGGCTGAGGACCGAGGACTAAGGACAGGGGTGGTCAGCACCGTGGTGCCCGAGGGAGCTCCTGGATATAAGAGGGGTAGGCGGGTGGGAGGGAGTGGGCTGCAGACTCAGTCCTGCCCAGCGGGAGGGCATCGCTCTGGGCCCTAGACCCCGCCCCCGTGCGCCAGGTTCTTCTCCCTGGGCACCCCCCCGGAGCTCGCAGGCTGGCCTCCGCTCCCCCTTCCCTCAACATTCCACGTCCCAGCCCAAGACCACGGCCGCCAGTCACCTCGCATGGTCGACACTAGAGATCGACACCCCAAGGCCTCACCTGCCCTCCCCTCCGGGACACGGCCAGGTATTTGGCGGCGGCGGCGCAGTCGGCTGCGTCCCCCGGGCGGCAGAGGCGGGACTTCCCTTCGGTCCCCCACCCCTCCGCGGAGCCCCTTCCGGCCGGAAGCGCCCGGCCGGCCAAACCGGAAAGGGCTCGGGTCGTCCCGGTGCCCAGGGTCACCTTCCCACGGGCTGGCACCTGGGCGCGGGAGCTCCCCCGGAGCTGGCAGGCGGGACCTGGCGCCCAACCCTGGGGCACCCGGTGCCGTGGCCCAAGGGCCCGGCCGAGGCCGCCGCGAGGTCCCAGGGGCGGTGCCTTGCGGGCCAGTCCCGGGGGCGGTGCCTGGTGGGCTGGCCCCACGGCTCCTCCCCTCTCCGGGGCCCAGTGGCCCTTTGACCGGGCGAGCTAATCAATGACGACGAGGCCCGACCCTTCCCGTCCAGAATTTACAGAGACTACCGAAGGAGAGTCCAAGGCGGCTTCATTGCTGTCGCTGCCGCCACTGAAGCAAGAGCTCCCTGGCTCCACAGAAATCCCAGCTCATCTAAGCATTCCCCAGCGCCCGGCCCTCCGTGACCATACCTAACAACCACCGGCGCCCGCATCTGGAATAGGCTGGCGAGATACTTAGTATCCGAGGGCTCGGGACCTGGGGCCATCCAGGTCATGGGAACCCAGGATCCAGGGAACATGGGAACCGGCGTCCCAGCCTCGGAGCAGATCAGCTGTGCCAAAGAGGATCCACAGGTTTATTGCTCTAAAGAGACTGGCAGCACCAAGGATGTGCAGGTTACAGACTGCAAGAGTCCCGAAGACAACCGACCCCAAAAAGAGACGGGCTGCTGCAATCTGGAGGACTCTGGGCAGCTGATGGCTTCCTATGAGGGTAAAGCTATGGGCTACCAGGTGCCTCCCTTTGGCTGGCGCATCTGCCTGGCTCATGAGTTTACAGAAAAGAGGAAACCCTTTCAAGCTAACAACGTCTCCCTAAGCAACATGATAAAGCATATAGGCATGGGCTTGAGGTGAGTAGATTCCATTGCCTAGAATGCCTTTGGCTTCACTTTGTTCCAGCTCAAGACTTCTAGCAGAAGTGGGAAAGGGTGAGAAAGCGGTTGGGCTTCTTGTCAGTGAAGTGGCCCCTATCCCTGGCATATTTTAGGACTGTGGTTTTGGATAGTGAGACCAGGTCACATCTCTTTGCAACCCCCTTCCTACCAGTATTTTGTCTTTTTAGAAGGGAAGGGTAGGAACATTTGGTCATACAGTCAGCCTTTCCCATTCAGGCTCCTTTTCACATACTGGTTCCAATGACTTCCCTCTGGGATTAGCTATATTTTGTGGCAAAGTAGCAAAGGATAGTCTGGCTGCTGTGATACTAACACAATGTTGTTTTATTTAGGGGCAGGGGGTTTTCAAACCCTTACTTCCCGTGAGCAGCTGGGGCATTCTCTGTACCTCATTAGGCACACTGTTAGAGTCCCAACATGACTGCTTCTTTCCTCAAGCTTTAGCTCCAGGGAGTAGATGAGAGCCTCCCTGCCCTCAACTGTAAGAAGTGATGAGAAAGTGCTGTCACTCTATTCTGGGATAGAGAGCTCTTGATATTAAAAGTCATTTATCAGAGAGGCATTTGCCATAGATGTAGAACCCCTCTAGATCCCACTGAGTTCAAAGACTAGTGATGAGGAGCCATTAACAGGATCAGGTGGATGAGGACAGAAAGCATCACCCTGAGGTCACCCTGACTCAGTCTACACAGTAAACACAGAACTAGGGAGGGAGGCATAAAGCTTGGGAAACGTTGCCCTGACAGCTTCTAGAGTAGGAGACCCTTTCTTTCCCCAGTCAATGCTGTGGAGCTGTGCTGGGGAGGTCAGTTACCTAACCCCAGCCCTGGGGAGTGGGAAGGGCCTGGTGCTGCCTGCACACCTGGCTCCTTTGTTGCTGCCTGTGGGTGGCCTGTAGCACAGAAGAATCATCCCTCCAGGCTGCTTCTGAAATCAATTCAGTCCAACTTTGACCCCAAAAGCTTTTGGGTCAAAATAGGATCTAGAGTACAGAGAGAAGTACAATGAGTTGCATGTGGTGGGGACGATGAAATCAAGAAAAGATGGGCATCCTAGCCTCTTAGCCCCTAAATATGAACTGAGTCATAGAGGCCTGAAGCTGTGCTCAACCCCCGGACCCTGGCTCCCCATTCCAGGATAGATTGGGGGTTACTGATACAGGGCTTTGGGAATGAGATGAGTTCCTGTAAGGAGAAAGTACAGGTGAGACAAGGAAGAATTCTAAATGATAACTCTTGAGTTGGGGTTGAAATTGTGGAGAAGGCCAAATAGGTCAGGAATGGTCAGGGAGTGAGAGCGCTCCTACGCCGGAGCTGAACTGGGGGCACTCTGACTGGGAGCTCCAGCAAGACAGAGTTCTCTGGGCCTTACCTTGGTAAGAGCTCAATTTCAATTGTTCTCCCTTCCAGCCAGAGTCCACTCATTGAGTAATGATTTATTGAGTGCATGTTCTGTGCCAGGTAGTCCTTTGTTCTGCCTATCCTCAGAGATTGCAGTTACTCTCCCTGGTTGCCCTAATCCTGGGCTGCACCCTCCCTCTACCAGTCCTTTCTGGCCTCTAGTTTCAAAGTCCATTTTTTTCTAAGCTGGCAGAGAGGATTCTCCACCCTGCTGTCATCCCATCCTTTGTCTTCCCTCCTTTTCTTTCCACCCCTAGAATGTGCTATCCCTATTCTTTTTTTTTTTTTTTTTTTTTTGAGACAGAGTCTTGCTCTTGTCGCCCAAGCTGGAGTGCAATGGTGCCACCTCAGCTCACTGCAACCTCTGTCTCCTGGGTTCAAGCAATTCTCCTGCCTCAGCCTCCCGAGTAGCCAGGATTACAGTTGCCTGCCACCACGCCAGGCTAATTTTTTTTGTATTTTTAGTAGAGACAGGGGTTTCACCATGTTGGCCAGGCTGGTCTTGAACTCCTGACCTCAGGTGATCTGCCAACCTCAGCCTCCCAAAGTGCTGGGAGTACTGGTATGAACCATCCATGGACTGCTATTCCTATTCCTTAATGGCATTTCTCCTCCTCCGCTCCAATCTGTCTGTTATCTCTCTTGTGTTCCATTGTTTGTATGTTCATTCATTTGTAAATTTGGCAAATATGCATTGACTGCAGACCATGTGTCCTGCCAGGTGCTTAGACCTGAGAGTAATATTCAACTAGCCTTTGTCATTGTCCTATACCCCAAGGAATTTAAAAATATGTCAGTCCCACATGAGGAACATTGAAATAGCAAGACAGTGTCTGATTAGGAATTGAGATGTTTGTATATATGAGTAATAATCATACCTGTACTATATGGCTTTCTTATCTATTATGTCATTTGATCATTCAACCATTCCATGAGATAGCTGGAGCAGGTGGTAACCCCATTTTGTAGATGAGGAAACCAGGACTCAAAGGCTTACTTACCCAATTACTTGGTTAAAAGTGGTGTGACTGGCTGAACGCAGTAGCTCACACCTGTAATCCTAGCACTTTGGGAGGCTGGGGCAGGTGGATAACGAGGACAGGAGATCGAGACCATCCTGGCTAACACGGTGAAGCCCCGTCTTTTCTAAAAATACAAAAAAATTAGCCGGGCGAGGTAGAACGCGCCTACAGTCCCAGTTTCTCAGGAAGCTGAGGCAGGAGAATCGCTTGAACCCGGGAGACGGAAGTTGCAGTGAGCCAAGATCACACCACTGCACTCCAGCCTGGCAACAGAAAGAGACTCTGTCTCTAAAAAAAAAAAAAAAAAAAAAAAAGTGGTGTGACTGAACAACAGCGGGCATAATGTGGTTAAGTAGGGAGGAGAGTGGAAATGGGAAAGAGTCTGGCAGGGCAGGGGCTACTTAGTGAGGACCCATCTGGAATGAGAATTTGTAGGAAATAAGATTAGAAGATAGGCTGGGACAGATGTCAGAGCCTTAAAAACAGAATCATTTGCCTATTGAAAACAGCCTCAATCATTTGCCTCTTGGGTATAGGTCTGTAGCAAGCCCAGGAAAATGTTGGGATTTTTTTGAAGGCTTTACTGAGATATTATAAGACAGCAAAATCAGAAAGCTTCACAGTTTAAATGCTGAACTTAAAAAAAAAAAAAAGACTTGAAATACCCAGAAATAAATATAAAAACACTGTCTGTGGGTGAGATGATTTTTTTTCCCCCTTTCACCTTTCATAATTAGAAAGAAAAATAATCATTTTAAAAAGAAGAAAGCTAGGCTGGGCGCAGTAGCTCATGCCTCTAATCCTAGCACTTTGGGAGGCCAAGGCGGGCAGATCACTTGAGGTCAGGAGTTCGAGACCAGCCTGGCCAACATGGTGAAACCCCGTCTCTACTTAAAATACAAAAAAAGCCGGACGCAGTGGCTCATACCTGTAATCCCAGCACTTTGGGAGGCCGAGGCGGGCAGATCACCTGAGGTAGGGAGTTCGAGACCAGCCTGAACAACATGGAGAAACCCTGTCTCTACTAAAAATACAAAATATGCTGGGCGTGGTGGTGCATGGCTGTAATCCCAGCTACTCGGAAGGCTGAGGCAGGAGAATCACTTGCACCCGGGAGGCACAGGTTGCAGTGAGCAAGATCGCACCATTATACTCCAGCCTCAACAACAAGAGCGAAACTCCGTCTCAAAAAAAAATAAAATTTGCTGGGTGTCATGGTGGGCACCTGTAATCCCAGCTACTTGGGAGGCTGAGGCAGGAGAAAGGAGAATTGCTTAAACCTGGAAGGTGGAAGTTGCAGTGAGCTGAGATCGCGCCATTGCACTCCAGCCTGGGCAACAAAGAACAAAACTCCGTCTCAAAACAAACAAATAAATAAATAATAAAAAGAAAAAGAAAAAAGTTATCCCAAGCAGCCTATGCCTGTTTTAGAGGTGGGGGGTTGGGAGTGGAGGCCATAGGCCAGGAAACCATAAATGGCCCTTTTGACACCTCAGACAAAGCCCCTGATTTTGGAAGTAAAGCAGTGGTGGAGCTATAGAAGTAAGGAGAGATCAGAAAGCCCCTTCTAAGGAGAACAAAGGAGAGAAACAAA